AATACATTTTCTTATTTTATCTACTTTTTAAAAAAGAAAATGGGAATAATAAATGGGAATATTAAAAATTTTAAATGCAAGGATAAAATGAAGGCAATTAATAGAACAAGTTGAACCATTATTCTCCTTTGAATTGTGACCATGTGGTCAATAGCCTTTATCAACAAAGTGCCTAGGTTTGACTCTTATTCATTCATATGCTACCAAGATGGACTCACAGAACCTGCTGGAAAGTTCATATGAGAAAACCCCAGAGAAATTATTTCCTAGAACTTAATGCGTAGATGATATGTTCTACATGTTAACATGATGTCCTAGATTCTAAAATGCTAAGTGGAAAGGCCAGGTAATAGGTACTTATAATTTGTAGTTTTGAATTTAACTAACATAAATGAATTCAGTTTCATGAAATATATTTCTCTCAAACCCGTGTAGCCAGAGACTATGCTAGTAAAATGAGATGAGCTATACAGATGGAAATAAGACAGAGCATGAATTGAGTTCAAGAGAACCATTAGTATAGGATTCAGATGTGAAAAGGAATTGAAAGGACAATCTCAGACCAAGCGATTAAAACCCAGGGTTTAATAAGAAAATGGAATTTCAGACTCCTTGGGTATTCTTGGCTTCTCCTAGTACAATGTTCTCCCACTCACTCCATCAAAATACAAAATATTTTCTAAGTAACACTGCTATACTCTTTGTGTTGATGTCAAATATGGCTTCTGGATAGAGAAAATTACACAATACTTCCTGAGTTGTTCTCAGTTTAAGGGGATAATCCTCACTATGCCTTTTGAGCTTTCCAGGTCTAAAATGCTACTGAGGTTGTAAACACTTTGTAGAAAAACTGTTTCTGTAAGCCTGAGCAAACCTGACATCACATGATGAACACTGGAGAAAGGGACTATCTTATGATGGTAAGAGAAAGATTTAGAAACAAAGTTAAATGAAAAGGGGAACAGCACTGCTCACAGAAGAGAGATCAAACACTCCATAGAAAATACATGTTATGGTGCAATTGCCCCCTGGGAGTCACAGGATTATGAAAGTCTAACTTAATTAAGGGAGAAAATAGGTCACATTTAATAACCACATGCATGACACATCATTTGGACTATGTAAAATAACTAACTAAGAGGAGAAAAAAATAAGAAATAAGAAGTATAAGAAAGACAAGCACAGAAAGTATCAATTTCTTCTAGTCCTGGTCAGGTAAGTGCATTGACTTTGTACATAGAAGAAGTTCACCAATCTTCTAATTTCTCTTTTCAGAAATACTTGCAATATACTTGAAAACAAACTGCAAGTATCAAAAGAAAGAAAAACAAAATAGCCTAGCCACAGTTCAAAAATTAAATAAATAAAAGAACAAAATTCAGAGATAATAAATATCCTTTTCCTTATTAAAATAAATAAAATATATCATGCATCTTTCTTCCTTTTCTCTTTCTCATGTCATCAAATGATATGGAATCCATGCATCAAATGTGTGGAATCTTTTCCCTTTCAGGGCTTGATGTCCCTGTGGGGTTGAGCTAATTACAGGTAGGTTTTTTTTTCCCCCCTCTGGACCACAGTCCTACTCTGCACAGTGGAAGGCACAATTAATAATTGAACAAAGCTAGTTGGATTTTTCTTTTTCTCACATGACCACAGTTTGCAGTAGGCTTTGCTGTCACACAGGGACCAAGTATCTTCCTTGGGTGTCTCCAAGAAAAGGCTTTGCATGATAGACTGAAAAGGATCACCCAGTTTCCAAATTTTGAAAGGAATAAAAAACCCACACACAAAACATCCAAGTTTCCTTTATAGAATGGCACAGGCGAGTTCTCTCTCCTGTCACCAGGAATATGATTGTGATCATGTGGTTATTTAGGCCAGATGTGAAAGAGATGAAAGAATAAGCTTGGGAATTAATAGCCATTGTAATGGGAACAGTTTGTCTTTGAATCTGCAAATGCATCAGGATGCTAGTTTTGCATGTGCCAGAACAGAATTTGACCCACAGAGAGTGTCTAGATAGATAACTATAGAAAAAGAAAGTTCTTTTCTTCAGATGTCTGAAGGAACTTGATGGAAGGCATATGCAAGGCCCTATGGGACCAATGGCAAATGTAGCAAATACTCGTCCTGTGTCCCAAGCCATGGTTTTGAGCAAGGGTCTGTAAAATCTAATGGGCCAGACAGATATAATTTTAAGCTTTGCTGCAAACCTAAGTTTTGCTGTTTTAGTAAAAAATAAAGCCATAGACAAAATGTAAACAAATGGGTATGGCTGTGTTGGAATAAAACTTTGTTTGTACACTGAAATTTGAACTTCATATTTTTTTGCATGCTGAAAAATAGGATTTTTCTTTTGATTTTTCCCCAACACTTACCAATTTAAAAACCTTTCTTATTTACAAGCAGTACATAAATAGGGCAGTTTGGCTTTGGCCTATAGGCTGTAGATTGCTGACCCCTGGTATTGACTATTGGCAATCCTTGAGAGTACATCAAATTTTCTAGTTGATTTTGCAGACTCTGAGTTCTCTGAGTATATTCAAGAGCTAGCTTTTCTATGGAAGATAGAGCTTGTCCTCTGTTATTTTGTTGATTTGAACATGATAGAAAATCAGCTTATTCTGGGTGTGAATCAGAGGTTCATTATTGTGGGAAAGTTTATTAATCATGAATCCTAAACTCCTAGACAGGCTGGCAAAGGCCTTGAAGCACTGGTTCCGTCTAACATTTTTTTCTAAGTCAAGAGACAGGAAAGAATTCATAATTTGTTCTGGTAGCAACTGCGTTTTTGCCTGAAATTATTATTTACTACTCAATATTATACCAAAAGAAATAATATCCTTCTATTAATGTAGCTCATTACTTGACCATAACATGAATACAATTTATTTTCCTACTTTTTATTCCCTTTTTCCTGTTTTTGATCTATCACTTTGTTCCATAGAAAAGATTAAGAGATTATATATAATATATTTATATAACCTTTTAAATTAATTATAAATGGTAAGACAAAAATTAAAGTAATTCCAAGCAAATCAGGTGAAAATAGGAGTGTGGTCTGTATATGAATTTGATACCATAAATTACTATGTAGATTGTGTAAAAATCAATGTTATTAATATGCAATTTACATATAATAATTTACATTCTATTATAGATGGATCATAAATTTGACTCTGAGTTTGCTAACAGTCAATTCAATGAAGGACTCATGATCATTTATGAAAACTCATTGGATCTATTTATAAAAAAAAAAACATTGTTTATGAAAAGAGTCATAAAGATATTTAAAACAAAGGGGAATTTTCTCAAAGGGACATTTCAAAATAAAATTACATAAGAATATTAATAATTTATCTTTAGCAACATCAAACACATTCATATTAGAAGTTATCTTTGATAAAACTGTAAAATATAGGCCATTTACATTTATCCCAAATTGGTAATCAGAGAAAGATGCTGCTTGGTGCAGTGGTAGGTGGAATAGATTTGGGGCTAATACAGTGACATCCAGGTACAATGTTCTCCAAAGGTTTTTAGTTCATTTCAGGGGAAAGATGGATGATATCTTCAATCTTTCATATGTGTCTTTTTCCCCGTGTGAGGTATAAAACAATTTTGACATTGATTTCCCAAATAAGTATGTCAAACATCGCTTGCATATATTATCAATAAATGCTGAGTTGCGAGTATTAACAAGAAAGAATTTTGAGTGACAATTTCAAGAATACTTGCCGAAATACATAAGTTGGTTCAATCTTCACCTGAGAAATTAGGTATAATGTCACAGGGGACCCCATGTTCTCAAATTATAAAATACAGAGATTTGTAGAGACATTAAAACAAAACACTACCCTGGCCTTTTAGAAATATCTCAATGGCAGATATATGCCGTTTTATGCCTAGCTTTACACGGTTTTAAGGTGTTTATTCCAAAACGAATAAATTATAAATTAAATTCTAGATATTTTATGAAGAAACCATAAGAGAACATGAGGCATAAACTGATTTAAATTTGGGGGCTATCTATCAAAATAAAAAGACATTTTATAGGAATAATTATCCATAGGTCTTCTTTCTGAAATAATGAAACAACAGGCACCATTCTATAATGACTACAATACTTGGAAAGGTAGTTTTCCATATAAGAAAATATAATTGGTAGAGTAGGGTAGTATACATGTAGTTAATCCCAAATAATTTGGTAAAATACTCAAATACTCTTCAAAACCCCAGAAGTTTTTTGAACCTAGTTGATGTGAATGTAGAAAGGAGGGGTGTTTTGTGGGGAGAGGATTCGGAGGACATTTCTGGGAAATCTTTTTCTGATGTTCCTGGATTAGTGTCAGTATCTGGCATCCATGATAAACTCATGCAGCTTGGTCCATGCTAGAGATGCATCACAGAACCCGATGCCAAAGACAGAGCAGCAGAAGTCACAAACAATATTATTTTATTCCTGGCTAATTTCTTCACAAAGTAATACATAGTAAAAACTATAGTTAAAAGCAAAGCAAAACAAACTTACAGAAAGCTCTGTAATTTTAATTCAAATAAAACATTGCCCCAAGACACTCAACCTCCAAACTGACATACATTTTAGATATAAAATCAAGTCACTTAATACTCCTATATTTTTTGCCTTGGAAGTATTCTATTAAAAATGAAATAAGATATATGTATATATACATGTGTATATGCATATTAAAATATGTATATATGTATGAATATGTATATACATGTATTTACATATATATATATATATATATCTGTATGAATATGCATACAGACACAAACATAAACACACATACACATTTTCAATTCTATGATTCTAAACTTATAGAAATGAACACATTAGCAGATAACATAAGGACTGGAAATAAGACCTTGTTTTGATTTTCTTAGCATTTTAATAACAAGATGCATGCTTGTCCTTCTGATCTAACAGAATGTTAAATAGAATGTGGCATCTTGAAAACTGGAGGGTTGCTTACCGGTTGGTGTAAGGTGTCTCCAGGTGATAACAGGTTCAGGGCGGCCATTGGCCATACAGACCAGGGTCACATTGCTGCCCTCATTCACAGTGACATCCGAGGAGATGTTGGAGATCTTTGGTGGAACTGTAAAGACAAAATCAAATAGAATATTTAACTATGTCAATAAAACAGGCATGTGGCATTTTCTGTGTTACTGAAAAGGCAAATTTGAGCTTTAATTTCTTAATTTAAACTTATATGTTAAGTAGCCAGGGAACTTTTAAGATCCTTGTAGATGTGCTCACCAAGTCACCAAGGTGACTTTATAGTACTAAAGCTGTACTATAAGGTTGAGAATATCTCCCATTATGACCATCTGAATGCTGTAGAAAATACCCAGAGTCATACATTGAAAATGTTGTAGCTATTTTCTGATAAAAAATTATTTAAATATTAAAAGGTATATACATTTATATAAAATAACAATAATTTTTTTTCTTAGCACTATTGCTTAAATGTATTACCTATATATATATAAATAATATAGTCCAATTTCTCCTCCAAATGCCAAGGAGAATAAGCATTATTTAGTATAAGATTGCATCACTTTTTTTTAGTAAAATGTGGTACTTATCACTTAGAAACAGAAGGAAGCCATGGGTTAATCAGTACATTAGAAATCTTGTAAATATTTTTTTAGAGTGTTAACAGACCACATGATATACTTTAGAACATAAAAATTAATTAATAAGGCATATGTCACAAACAAGTAGACACTGGAAAAAGTCTATACTACTACTATTCTTAATATTACCATCACCTCTACTACTAACAATTTAGTGATAGATAACTTTAATTAAAGTTATCTAAACCCCTAGGTTCTGTACATGTATCATCTTAATAAATTCTTAAAATAAAGACATGACATCCTATGAGGATTTTATTTACAGGAGGGGCACTGAGGCATAAATGAGATCTGGCAAAAAGCAGAACAGGAATTTGAATCCAGGCAGACTTTAGGACCCATCATGCTCTCAGGCACTTCCTGAATGAAATTCCATCTTGACAATCCAGGCCACCAGATGGCCGAAAATGACAGAAATTACTTTTTGGTGATGTGAGAGATGAGTCCCCAAGGGCAAACAGTACTGCTGTCTGATTCCTTCATTAGTGTTCAGGGTGGCAACATTAGGTTCCACGTTGCTAGGCTTAAGTGGCATGTGAATTATTCACAAATTTCATCTCAGAGGTTATGTGCTGATTACAAATAGAAAGGTTTGTGGTTGGACTGTGATCCCCGCCCCCTTTTTCCTTTTTACTCAGTTGCTCACACTGTCCCTGAGAGCATGTTTCTGAGAGAAGATGAGAAAACATGAAGGGGTTCAATAATAAAAAGAATCTTATTTTTCTAACTCTTTCTGGCCTCTATGGACTCTGTATTCCTGACCAACAAGACTTTTTTGTTGTTGTTGTTTAAAGAGGTAACTGCCCTGATAGCCATATGATCCCTGCAAATCCTTGAAGGGATATTGATGGTACTTGGGCAACTGACCAGTTCAGAATATCACTAGAAGGAAGTGAAAGGAAGACCCCCCCTTCTTTTAGCATTCTTTTCAGTGTTTTTTTTAATTAAAAATTTTAATTCTCAAAATTCACAATTACAAAAATGAAATAAGCAAGACACAGACTGGGAGAAAATATTTACAACACAGTGTTATTTTTTAAGACTTCTGAGCAGAAAAGAATGACTCCAAATCAAACCCAATGGCAGAATATTCCCATTATATAACAACCTCTATTTTAGAGTCTCCATTCCTTCTTTTGGCTATTGGGGTTAAGGATCATTTTTTTATATTGATACAATGACTTGCAACATATTCTGCAGACTTTTATAATGGGGACTTGAAAGTTCATACCCATTTTATAAGGAAGAACATGATATTCATAACAGCTTGTCTAGGGTGATTCCTTCAAGAACTATGGCAAGACTTATAATTCAGACTTCCTGAGTGTATATTTGTTCTATTGCTTAATAGTCACAGTTGCTAATATCCACCTGAGTGAGCCAGTGTTATGGAAATCTCCAAATCAACTGCGATAAAATATAAATCTTTGATAATGTTCAAAGACTAAGGTTAAACATCTTAGGTGTCTTCTTTAGTAATCTAAAATCTGTAACAAGAAGATATATAGTGATTATAAGAGCCCATGTTAATGGTAATCACTGAATTGCACCAAAGATACAGTATAAAGAGAAAATATAGCTGTTTTCTGATCAAAAGGGGATTCCAAATCCCTAACATAAAAACATGCAAATTTATACAACAGAAAAAAGTCTATAGTTGACAGAATTATCCCCAGAGAATTCTTCTTTATTTTAAAATTTACTGTTACCTCTTTATTTTTTTAATCAAAGAAATATGAACTAAGGATTTTGCATGGACATGTCAAGCTAGTTAAGCCATTTGCTCAGTCTTACATAGATAGGTACTAGTAAAATTGGACATGAAATTTAGAATAATTGATGGCAGGGTTATTTTTAACTATATTGTTTCTCCTAATTTAGATCACTATACTCAGTCCTGAATCTCAGAGATTGGAGAGGCAGCAAATGTTGAACAGTTAGAAATGTAATCACATTGTCTCTTTAAATCCCTCTTGTCTCTGGGTCACTTCCATGGGTCTCACTTCTTCATTATTTTCCTACATTATTTTGTACTGACTTCTTCCCGTAAGCACTCATATGTAGTCTTTTTACTCTCAAAATAAATCTCTCTCCAACTCCACACCAACTTTCAACCTCTCTTTCCAAGTTTCATGAAGGAATTGTTCTGAACCACATCTTCATCTCCCATTAACACTTTAATCTCCAAAAATGTGGATTCTCTCTTAATGCTTCAAAGAGACTGCTCTAAAGTAGTTTACCAGTAGCCATACTGTTTCTAGGTCCATGGGCAATTTTTGTCTTTTTCCTATTTTTTTTTAAGTATTTAACTCTGCTGATCATCACCTCTTTCTTACAGTTCTTTCTTTTCTTGTTTTCTAGGACACCAAACTCAACTGCTTTTCCTCTACCCTTCTGGTCAGTCTTCCCAATTTAACTGTTGGGCTTATCTTATCCCTTTCCTTAAATATCTGCATATCCTCTTTCTTCATGTCAGTCTATATATTCATCGAGTGATCTTACCTACTTTAGAGCTTCAAACTAGTCATGTCAAGATGACTTCTAAATAAGTATTTTCAACCCAGATTTTTCTTATAATCTTTATCTCTATATTTCCAAGTGACTAGTCTATACCTTCATCAATGCCTCACAGATACTGAGTATCATCATCTATATTCCCATGAAACACTTGAGTTATTTTTTTAGTGAATGGTATCATTATGCACAGATTTACCCAAATAACAAACAACAATAACAACACATAAGGTATCTCCCTGACTGCCCTCTCTCATTGCCCACACATAAAAATTAGTCCCCAAGTTCTGTGGTATATGTCTTTTAAATATCTCTCAGATTCATCCGTTATTCCCAGTGCTTACTCCCACCATGCCATGTTTTAGACATCAGCATTTTTCATTCATCCGTTTGTTCTTTTGGCCTTTCTTCCTTATTTTGCCTGAATTATTGCAAAGAATGAAAATGGTTCTTTTTCTCTAGCCTTCCTTTTCTCTTGTTCACCAACATACATTCACCACACTACAACCAAGTGTTTTTCCTGAGTTATAAATTTGAATATCTCTTGGTTAACCTCATTGCCTTTAAGATGAAATCCAAACTTCTTAGTATGGCTTAACAGGTCATTCATGGTGACTCCTGCTTACCACTCTTCTTCCCTTTCCATTACTTCATCCATATCTGAAGTCAGACCAAATAGTTACTAGTTCTTGAAATGATCTACTCACTTATACCTGGCATTTGACATTCTGTTTTGCCTATATGGAGTATCCTCTTTCAACTCTTCATGTGGGTATCCCCTTTCCCCACCCAGCTTTCAGTTAGTCAGCTGATCTTCTTACTTTCCTGTCACTCCACACCACCCAACATGACATGAGGAACAAGGTGCTGTGTTACATGTTCTAAATTTGGATCCTGTAGTTCTCTACCACCACACTGAATCATAGCTGCTGTACTACTTACTTGTGCCCTTTACTAAAGTTCAAGAGACAGAAGGAAGGGTCTCTGTTTTCCAAATGACTGAATCTTAGAGAATGTAGTGCTTGGAACATAGTAGTTGTTCAAAAAGAATTTGAAAAATTCCGATCCCCATGAATAACTAAAAAGAACAAATAAAAAGAAAAAAAGTAGCAAACTGAAAAGATTTTTCACAGCAAAGAAAACAATCAAGAACATGAACAAAGACCCTTCAGAATGGGAGAAAATCTTTGCCCAATCTTTGGGTTATTTATTTTTCTGGTGTACCTCAAATAAGGCATTAATTTCCAGGATATACAAAGAACTCAAAAAACTTAACACCAGAAAAACAAATAACCCAATCCAAACATGGACAAAGGAACTGAACAGACACTTCACAGAAGAAGAAATATGAATGGTCAAAAAATATACAAAAAAAATGTTCAACATTTCTAGCAAATAGAGAAAGGCAAATTAAAACTACACTGAGATTCCAACTCACTCCAGTCAGAATAGCAATTATCTAGAATACAAGTAACAATACATGTTGGTCAGAATGTAGGGAAAAACCTACACTCATACATTGCTAGTGGGACTGCAAATTGTTGCAACCACTCTGGAGAACCACATGGAGATTCCCTAGGAAGCTTGGAACGGAACCACCATTTGACCCAGTTATCCCATTCTTCCATCTATACCCAAAGGAATTAAAAACAGCATACTGTAATGACACAGACAAATCAATGTTTGTAGTAGCTCAACTCACAATAGTCAAACTATGGAAACAAAGTAGGTGTTCTTAAGTAAATGAATGGGTAAATAAAATACATGTATACACAGTGAAATATTACTCATTCTAATAAGAATGAAATAATGGCATTTGCAGGCAAATGGATGGAACTAGAGAATATCATGTTAAGTGAAACAAGCCGATCCCAAAAAACTAAAGGCTGAATGCTCTCTCTGATTTATGGATTCTAACCCAAAACAAGTGAGGTTGGGGAGGGGA